CGCGGCGCGGAGAGGGGCATCGCCGTAGCAGGGGAAAAAGGGGGGGAGTTAAAAATAATCTGGGTGGCAGAACAGGGTGTTGGGATCCCCCGATGGAAGGTGGTAGCCTGGAGGACTTGCTGAGCTTGTCTGCAAGGGGCTCTGGGTGCCTGGGGTGGGAACTGTGTGGGGGCGCAAGGGCTCTCCTTGAGGCTGGCAGATCCCCCCGGGGATCCTGGGGGACTTGCACAGCTAAAGATACCCGCTGTGCCGTGAGCCCTCTCCTACACGATGCACGGGGTGCCAGAGCTTGCCTTTTATAATCAGCTGGCAGGGAGCGCCAAACGTAAGAGCACTTGTCACGCTGAGCACTTGGCAGAAACCTTCCCTAGTTTAGAAGCTGCTGTCGTCTTCCCGGCTGTCTTGTGCCCTGCTCGCAGCTGCTTCTGCAGCGCGGGCATCTCTTCTGCACTACCAGCAGCACGAGGCTCTTTGTGCCGTGTTTTAAACACAAGGCTGGAAACTCAGCAAGCAGTAATGAACTGGAAAAGGGCCGGGGCAGAAGCTTAACCGGCCATTAAATTGAGAGAGAGGAGCTTAGGGATAAGTTTGTTATTTTGGTGCCTTCTTGCTCTGTATTAGGAGAAAGTGACCTTTACTGTTATGACAACAGGGTATCAAAAATGATTAGGGTTTCCTCAGAATAAGCAAAATAAAATTGCAAACTGCATCTCTCCTTCAGTTTGTCCCTCAAGGTTTTATCTTCAAGCACTGTATTGAATGGCGCTTAAAGTGTTTTCTTAATCTGACCTCCATCAAAATTGAATGCACAGACTGGCAGAAGTGGGAGGTTAGCTCATTAATTTGTACAGTCATGAGTGAAGCTGGAAATATTTAGGAATAATTTCCCTCTTCTGAAGAGGGAGATAAGAATAGCTTTGAAAACAGTCTTTAAAAAGTTTCATTCCAAAAAAGAAACGTAATGCATGAAAGGAGAAGCCTTTGCCAGTGAGGTGAGGAATCACAGGAAAACAATTTCAGTGATGAGAACTGTGATTTAGCAAAGAGGACCAAATAAGCCTTCATTTAGAAACTGGAATTGTAAACAAAAAGCCAGAAGGGAACTGCCACTTCTTCCAAAATTGGTGATGGGGGTAGAATGGGCTGACTTGCAGAAAATGCAAGTCTCCTTGCAAGAACCTAATGAAAATCTGTGCAACAAATGGTGAAAGGATGTGTTTTAGTGTGTGGGAG